GGCTTCATGAAGAAGACAGTATTTGAATAATGGGGAGCAGTTTTGCCTTGCACAGGACATTTGGCAATATCTGGAGACATTTTTGGTTGTTATCACTGAGGGATGATTGGGCAGTGCTACTGGCGTCTAGTGTGGGTAGAGGCCAGAGATGCTGTCAAACGTCCCCCAGCACATGGGACAGCTCCCCACAACAAAGAATTAGCCCAAAAGGGCAGCAGTGCTGAGGATGAGAAACCTTGCATTTAAAACTTAGCGGCTAATAAAAAAAATTAAAAAATAAATAAAAATAAAACTTAGAGGCTGCGAGGGTGTCGGCTATGTAGAGTTCTGAGGGTGGAGCTTTCTTGGAAAAGAGAAAGCCCATCCTAAGATGGGAACGTGACAGGCTTTTTAGAGGAACTGAAAGTAGGCCCAGAAGTGTTGGACGTGGGGTAGGATGGTTAATGGGGGCAAGATTATGTAGTGCGTTGGAGGTCGTTGTAGGGACTTTGGCTTTTATTCTGAGCCATTAGAGGTTTTGATGGGCAGGATGTGTCATATGATTTGGGTTTCACAGAATCACTCTGGCTGTTGTGTTGTGTATGGATTATTGGAGGACAGGATAGAAACAAGGAGAGACCAGTTGGGAGGCTGTTGCAGTAATCCAAGTGAGAGATGATATAGAGCAGTGATAGTACTGGTGGAGATGGATGTATGTTGAATTGCATAACGAGGACATCATTGGTGACCTTCACATGAACCATTCTGGTGGAGTGGTGGGGACCTGATTCTAGTGGGTGAATAGAAGGAGAGGAGTGGAAGGCAGTGAGTAAATATGGTTCTTTTAAGTTTTCCTACAAGGAGGAGCAGTGAAATATAACAGTGGCTGGTAGGGATAGTGGGGTCAGGAAGTTCCCTTTCTTTATTAAAGGTGGGAGAGTAAGAGCTTGCTTATATGTTTTTGGGAATGTTCTAGTAGTAAGGCAGGAAAATGATGATGGTGCAGGAGAAAGAGAAGGGAGAATTGGTGGAGTAATGAGCTTAAATCAGCTTGTGTCTTTTTTATTCCTTTATTTCATTTTAGTAGGATTTCTTTTAGAGAGTGCGTGCATGTGTGCATGCAGGGGTGGGGGGGGCCAAGGGAGAGGAAGAGAAAGAATCTTAAGCAAGCTCCAGGCCCAGCACGGAGCCCAGTGCGGTGCTCGATCTCACGACCCTGAGATCATGACCTGAGCCAAAATCAAAAATCGGACGCTTAACCAACTGGGCTACCCAGGGGCCCCCATTTTAGTAGGATTTTTATAAGGAATATTCTGTTATTTTAACTAGAAGCCCCTTTCTTCATAGTTAGGCCTTGCCATATAGGAATAAGAGTTTCAGTCTCCATTTTATAAATGAAGAAACCAAGGTCTCAGTTCATACAGTGGCGGAGCTGTATTTCATATCTATTTACCATTATCTTTCAGGTCGGACTCAGTTTTTCAATTTCCTATCCTTCCGGGACCCCAGTGACCTTTGAATCTTGCTTCCAGAAAACATTGCTTTCCAACCAGCCAGTAACTAACAGTTGAACTGGTCTTTTTTATTAAAATCACCAACCTCAAAATTTGAAAAATATGTTCAGTGTAGTTAAGCATATCTTATATTGCATGTTTATGACAGTATAGCAAAAGTGATTAAGTGCAGCCTTAATTGATTTTACCCTCTCAGACAGCACTTTTTTTTGGTATAACTTCTCCTTCCATGCATCATTTGGGGGTTTATTTGAAAATACAGTGGAACTAGAACACACGTATTACAAAAATGAAAGGAGCTAGTAAATCAGTGTGTCCTGTTGTGCTAGCCACTGGCTTGTGTTTGAAAAGTTTAGCTTTAAGGATTTTTGCTATCCTAGCTACTAAATCAGGATTGCATCTGACTTGTACTCACAAGGAGGAAATGAAGCATCCAGCTAAGCCATGGTGTAGTTGGTACCTGGTTATATGAAGGAATATAGAAATGATGGGTGTATATCAGGAAGTTAAAAATAAGAGTGGAATCCTAGCAACCTAGTGCTGTATTAGGAGTTGCTTCCAGGAGGAATTCATAGAAATAGAAGATTATTGTACTTCATAGTGTACATAGAATAAATTGAGACTCTACATAGAAACACCTTTCCTGTTCATTCAGTCATACTTTAGTTCAATAATAATTATTGAGCACCTACTATGTGCCAGACTAAGGATACAATTCTAAGCCTTCATGGAGCTTAGTGTTTAGAAAATACAATGGATAATATTCCTCTGTGAGGTTGCAGGGCAGGGATCCTGTTTCTTATATCAGTACATTAGTTTGCTAGAGCTGCCATAATAAAATACCACAGACTGGGTAGCTTAAACAACAGAAATTTATTTCCTCAAAGTCTGGAGGCTGGAAGTCTAACATTAGGGTGTCAGCAGGTTTGGTTTCTTCTGGGCTTCTCACCTTGCCTTGCAGATGGCCACTTTCTCACTATATATTTACATAGTCTTCTCTCTGTGCACACCTGCATCCCTGGTGTCTTTTTGTGTGTCCAAATTTCCCCTTCTTACAAGGGTAACAGTCAGATTAGATTAGGGTCCATCCTAACTACCTCATTTTTAACTTAATCACCTCTTTAAAGGCCCTATTTCCAAATACAGTCACATTCTGAGGTGTTGGAGGTTAGGACTTCAACATAGGAGTTTTAGGGGGACACAGTTTAGCCCATAACCCTTTACCCGTTGGACCCCCAAAATTCATATTCTCTTTACATGCAAAGTACATTCACCCCTTCATAACAGCCCCCAGTTTTTTAAGCTCTACACCCAACATGGGGCTTGAACTCATGACCCCAAGATCAAGAGTCACATGCCAGCCAGGCACCCCCAACAGCCCCCAGTTTTTTTTTAAGTTTTTTTTTTTTTTTTAAGATTTCACTCATTTGCCAAAGATAGAGCGGGAGTGAGAGAGAGAGAGTGAGCGGGCGCGCAAGTAGGGGGAACAACAGGCAGAGGGAGAAGCAGGCTCCCTGCCGAGCAAGGAGCCTGATGCGGGACTGATCCCAGGACCCCAGGATCACAACCCAAGCTGAAGGCATACTCCCAACCGACTGAGCCACCAAGGCATCCCCAGCCCCTAATTTTAAACCCATTCCAGCATCAACCCTAAATCCCAAGCCTTATCTGAATATCATCTAAATCAAATGTGGATGAGACTCAAGGCATAATTCATCCTAAGGCAAAAATCTTCAAGGGCACCTGGGTGGCTTAAGTGGTGGGTTAAGTGTCTGCCTTCGGTCAGGTCATGATCTCAGGGTCCTGGGATCGAGCTCCGCGTAGGGTTGCCTACTCCATGGGGAGCCTGCTTCTCCTTCTCCCTCTGCCCCTCCCCCTGCTCATGCTCACGCCCTCTCTCTGAAATAAATAAAATCTTTAAAAAAAAATCTTCAGCTGTGAAACTGTGAAACCATTACAAGTTATCTGCTTCCAAAGTACAATGGTGGGACAGACAATAGGGTGAACATTCCCATTCCGAAAGGGAGCAATTGGAAAGAGGAGAGGTATCATAGGTTCCAAGCAAGTTTGAAACCTAGCAGGGCAAATTCCATTAGATTTTAAGGCTCAAGAATTACCCTCTTTAGCTCGATGCTGTGTCCTTTGGCCCATTGGTGTGGCAGGCTCATGCTTCAGGCCCTGGACATTGGCAGTCTGGCCCACTGAAACTGAGAATACAACCTTGCCCCCCTGGGGCCTGGTCCCCTCTGGGCCTATAGTGGTAGCAGCAGTCCTGCTGATCTCTGAATTGCCCTGGGGTCATTCTTCTCTTTTCTTGAAGGATAACACCTGTTGGCAGTCAGATAGGTCTATTGTCCTGTCTTGTGGAATCCCAGAAGTCTGATAGCCTTCCTTTATTATATCTTGTCTCTGTCCCCTTTAGTCAAAGCTGGCCTTGTTTCTGTTGATAAAACTTCATCTCTATTCCTGGCTTCTGCAGAGATGGCTGATTGGATCCATGAGTCACACCTGTAATCACTTTATCAAAGGATTGTCCAGCCAGACCTCGGTTTTGCCTCCTGAACATGCTTTCATATTATATGGATAGTCTGAGATTTTTCCAAACCTTCAAGTTCCGGTTCCTTTTTGCTTAACAATTCCTTCTTCAATGTATCTTTTTCCTCTCCATACATTTTACTATGAGCAGCAAGCAGAAACCAGGCCACACCTTCAACACTGCTTAGAAATCTCCTTAGCTAAATATCCAGGTTCAGCACTTAGAATTTTTACCTTCCACCCAACACTAGGACACCATTTGGCCAAGTTCTTTTTTGCTTTATAACAATCAACTTTTGTCCAGTTCCCAATAGCATGCTCCTCATTTCTTTCTGCGATCTCACCAGAATCACCTCTGATATCCATATTTCTGCCCATAGTCTCTTCAAGGCAATCTAGGCTTTTTCTAGCATGCGCCTCAAAACGCTTCCAGTCTTTACCCATTCCCAGTTTTAAAGCCACTTCCATATTTTTAGGTATTTGTTACAGCAGCATGTCACTTCTTGGTACCAAAATCTGTATCCGTCTACTAGGTACATAACAAAGTACCACAGACTGCGTGGCTTAAACAACAGAAATGTATTTTCTCACAGTTCTGAAGGCTAGACGTCCTAGATAGATGTTGGCAAGTTTGGTTTCTTCCGAGGCCTGCCTCCTTGGCTTGTAGGTGTCCATCTTCTGTGTCTTCACATGATCTTTCCTCTGTTCGGGCATTCCTGGTGTCTCTGTGTGTGTCCCAATTTTCTCTTTCTTGAAAGGACACCAATCAGTTGTAGTAGGGCCTCATTTTAATTTAAACACCTCTTTAAAGACCTTATCTCCACATAGGGTCACATTCTGAGGTACTGGGGGCAAGGCTTCAACATATGCATGGGGCTGGATGCAATTTAGTCCATAACAATCACTCAGCATGAATAATCACCTGTGAAACTTGTTAGATTTGTCTGCATAACAATACTGTTTTCTTCCTAGTACTATGAAGTATTCCTTCGACAGTCCCCAATGGAGCCCTGCCTTCTGTTCCATGAAGGTGGGTACTGGCGTGAGCTCATAGTCCGCACCAATAGCCAAGGGCACACAATGGCCATCATCACTTTCCATCCCCAGGAATTAAGACAGGTGAGACTCACAGAATGATAAGGGGCGGCTTCTGTAGCAGCCCTTGTTTTCACTATCCTGCAGTTGCTTTTGGAAGTTTCGGGGCAGATTGCAGAAACTACACATCCACAGAATATTTGTGTGGGTTGGGAAGAGGGGTCGGGGGTGAGGAGGAGATAGCGAGGTACTCTAACCATGCTGCTGGCATAATCAAACCACGGAGACTGAGGTGAGGTTACCAAGTTAATTACCATGTGAGGACTCCCAAGTATTTTCACAAGAACTTGGCCGGTGGAAGTTGGTAGGTACTCTACTGATTCTAAAAGCCAATTCAATAGAGAGAATATAGTCAGAATTTCGTAACTCAAATAATACTTTACATTTGTAATTCACTTAGGGCTTTGAAACATTCCCATGTTAAAATATTCCTGTACTTGATGTGATCATCTCAGCCCACCTGTAAAGTAGGTGAGAGAAGGAAAAATATTGTCATCCTCATTTCAGATGAGCAAATAGAGGCACAGAAGTACCCAAGGTGAAGAGCCAGTAAATAGCCAAGCTAGGGCTTGAACCCACGTCATTGATTCCTGACCTTTTTTTTTGTAATTTAAAAAAAAAAGAGTATAGTTGACACACAATTCCTGTGGCCTTTTATTTTTATGTATTTTTTTAAGATTTTATTTATTTATTTGACAGAGACACAGCGAGAGAGGGAACACAAGCAGGGGGAGTGGAAGAGGGAGAAGCAGGCTCCCCGCTGAGCAGGGAGCCTGATGAAGGGCTCGATCCCAGGACCCTGGGATCATGACCTGAGCTGAAGGCAGATGCTTAATGACTGAGCCACTCAGGCGCCCCTCAAAGTAGATTCTAAGGCAGCAGGTATTACTAGAGATAAAAGAGAAGACTTAATAAAGGTAGAAGGTTCCATTTAAAAGGAAAATACAACAATTTAAAATTACGTACACTTAATAACTGACAGAACTACAGGAAAATACACAATGCTACTTTAATGGGAGATGCAGTAAATAATGGTGAGCACAGACAATGATAAAATACATTAGTAAGTTTAATCTACATATGTAAAAAAAAACCTATTTATTTATTTAAATTCCAGTGTAGTTAACATACAGAGTTATATTAGGCCAGGTATACAATATAGTGATTCAACAATTCTATGCATCACAGGGTGCTCATCATGACAAGTGCACTCCTTAATCCCCATCACTTACTTCACCCATCCCCCTACCCACCTCCCCTCTGGTAACCATCAGATTGTTCTCTGTAGTTAAGAGTCTGTTTCTTGGGGGCGCCTGGGTGGCTCAGTCGTTAAGCGTCTGCCTTCGGCTCAGGTCGTGATGCTAGGGTCCTGGGATAGAGCCCCATGTCGGGTTCCCCGCTCCATGGGAATCCTGCTTCTTCCTCTCCTGCTCCCCCTGCTTGTGTTCCCTCTCTTGCTGTGTCTCTCTCTGTCGAATAAATAAATAAAATTTTAAAAAAAAAAAGTCTGTTTCTTGGTTTGTATCTCTCTTTTTTTCCCTTGTTCATTTGCTTTGTTTCTTAAATGTCACATATAAGTGAAAGCATATGGTATTTGTCTTTCTCTGACTGATTTATTTCACTTAGCATTTATACTGCCTAGCTCCATCCATGTTGTTGCAAATGGCAAGATTTCATTCTTTTTTATGGCTGAATAGTATCCCATTGTATATATATACCACCTCTTCTTTATCCATTCATCTGTTGATGGACACTTGGGCTGCTTCCATAATTTGGCTATTGTAAATAATGCTGCTATAAACATTAGGGTGCGTGTATCCCTTTGAATTAGTGTTCTTGAATTTAAAGAAATGGGCAGAAGACATGAACAGACTATCTCTAAAGAAGACATACAGATGGCTAGCAGACACATGAAAAAATGCTCAACATCACTCATCATCAGGGAAATGCAAGTGAAAACCACAATGCGATACCACCTCACACCTGTCGGAATGGCTAAAATCTAAAATACAAGAAACAACAAGTGTTGGCGAGGATGTGGAGAAAAGGGAACCCTTCTGCACTGTTGGTAGGAATATACTGGTATGGCCAGTGTGGAAAACAGTATGGAGGGTCCTCAGAAAGTTAAAAATAGAAATACCCTATGATCCAGTAATCACACTACTGGGTATTTATCCCCAAAATACAATTCTTGGCCTTTTAACTCTAGAGCTCCAGCATAGTTTATTGTGATCTGTCCTGTGTCAAGCTAATGTTTAGGTTCTCTGCAGTGATGTAAGAATTTTAAAATGTTCTGAATTCAAAGAAAGAATTTAGTTACCCTGATCATTCCCTCCCATGCCCTCTTTCTTTTTTTTTGAGAACTCACATCTGAGGTGGTATTTGAGTGGGTGGTTGGGATATTTGAAGTGGAGAGACATAAAGGGAGTTGAAAAGTTATTGCTTCTTCATAATGAGGCAAAAACTTAGTTTAGTTCCTTGTTTACAATAGGAATAACTCTCACACTTTCTTTAGAAGACTATTAAGGAGGCTCAAATTGGAGAAAGCACCATGTCTATTATATAGGATTTGTCAAAAGCTGATAAGCAAAGCGATGCTTCTGCCAAGATGTGTAAATAGTGTATTTTTTGTCATGTAGAACATTGCTTTATCTTAAGTGTTATTTATAATAGGATTTGAGAAAGGTGCCTTCTTGTCTGACTATTGCAAAGCTGATTATTATTGTAGAGTTTGGAGAGAAAATTTGTCAGAGATGAGTCTGTGCTTGACTCCTGATTTTGTGATCTGGGCAGGAGGAGCTCAATGTTCAGAAGGAGGCTGTCAAAAAGTTTTTCACTACTGGGCCAGGAGCAGTCTGTGACTTGACATCACTTTACTTCCAGGAAAGGTAAACCTGGGGTAGCCAGACAGCAAGCAGGGTGGCTTGCCATATTCTGAGCTGTGGCTTGCTGAGGCAGGGCTGCTAACTGGGGGGGAACTGGGCTAAGTGATACCGGCCCCTGTACACCAGCCAGGTCCTGGAACCCAGGCCAAATTTAGATGAGAGGGTGTCTGCATATACCTCCATCCCCCGAGAGGGAATTCTTCCAGACCTTTCAGGGCCATGCCATGGGGGCCGTGTCTCCTGGCTGAGATGCTTCCCACTCCCCCCCCCCCCCGCAAACCAGTAGAGATGGAATGGTCTGCTATTCCAAAATGCTTTTTTAAAAATTCTTTTCCAGGGGCACCTGGGTGGCTCAGTTGGTTAAGTGTCTGCCTTCAGCTCAGGTCATGCTCCCAGGGTCCTGGGATCGAGCCCCGTGTTGGGCTCTCTGCTCAGCAGGGAGTCTGCTTCTCCCTCTCCCTCTGCCCCCTGCTTGTGCTCTGTCTCTCAAATGAATACATAAAACCTTTTAAAAAAAATTCTTTTCCAGCACTATGACGCGTTGCAGCCATCAGCAGTCCCCCTATCAGCTCCTATTTGGGGAACCCCACCTCTTTGAAGATCTCCTGGGCTTGAAGATCCGCATCTCTCCAGATGCCTTTTTCCAAATTAACACTGCTGGTGCAGAGGTGCTATATCGGACAGTGCGGGAGCAGAGCGGAGTGAACTCTAACACCATCCTCCTTGATATCTGCTGTGGAACTGGCAAGTGGCAGCCCAGGGCAGAATCTACATGCTACTTAGCTTCCATCTACCCAGCACCCAGGGCTCAAGTGGGGAGGTGATGGTGGGTGGTGCAGGCATACCATCATTGGTTTAAAATCTTAAAATAGGGACGCCTGGGTGGCTCAGTCGGTTAAGCCTCTGCCGTCAGCTCAGGTCATGATCCCAGGGTCCTGGGATCGAGCCCCACATCGGACTCCCTGCTCAGTGGAGAGCCTGCTTCTCCCTCTCCCTCTGCTGCTCCCCCTGCTTGTTCTCTCTCTCAAATAAATAAAGTAAAATAAATAAAATAAAATCCTAAAATATCCTCCTCTTATCCTCCTCCTTCCTCAGGTGTGATTGGTTTCTCTCTGGCTCAGTATGCCTCGCAGGTCCTTGGGATTGAGTTGGTGGAACAGGCAGTAGAAGATGCCAGGTGGACTGCAGCCTTCAATGGTACACTGCTCGTGTTCTGGAGAGAAATTAAGAGCTCCAGTTGCTTCTGTGCTGTGTAAAGCATTGTGTGGGAAAGGGCATCGACTATACCCATGACCTATGCAGAAGGAGGGAGGGTGTCCTGGAGTGATTGGAGTTGGGTCCTGATGGTTTTCTAAAAGAGGTCCCAATAGCTAATCTCCCCCCTTTTTTTTCTATCCAGAAGACGAGCCCGAGGCAGTGAACAGGCCTAGATGATAGGAAGAGAACTTGGCAAAACTTTGGATAATAAAGAAGAGGAGCCTTCTTGGCATTAGACTCATGAGGCATTATAACATAATACAGTAGATTTCAAACAATTGTTAGCCACAGAACCTTTTCTTTGAACAAAATCGTATGACAGACTACAATATAGAAAGCAGATCTCCTTGTTCTCTCTACCCTACCTCCAGACAACTCTTGAGGCTCTGAAAATCTCTAATGTAGCAGAAAGAGCACTTGAGTAAAAGTCAAGGTTTTCTTCTTGGTGTAGGTACTTATGTGCTATGTGTCACTAAGTTTTAAAATAACATGTTCTAGTATCTCAAGCTGAAAGGCCTACTGAGATATTGCAAAGGAAAATGTGTTGGCAACAATGAGGCAGGTCCAAAAGCGTTTTTTTCCTTGTTATTCGGAGGTATGCCAGACCCAAAGGGAAGATGGCAGAGCCCTGGCTCCTGTACATTTCTGTGAAGCTGAAACTCTCCCTCCCTTGCCCCTTTCCTCACTACTGGGCTTGAGTTTTGACTTCTGTCCTGGGGGCCTCTCTTCTGCAGGCATCACGAACTGTGAATTCCACGCTGGTCGAGCAGAGATTTTACCACAGCTACTAAAGTCAAAGGAAGATGGGCACTTCATTGTTGCTGTGGTGAACCCAGCCCGGGCAGGACTGCGTAAGAATGGATAGCTCTCCTGTTAACAGAACTAGTTGGGTGTTCTCATGATGTCCACCATCTGTAGTCCTTTACTCCCATACAGTGCTAAGGGGGCTCCCAGTGGGCTGGCTCTGACCCTACTTCTCTATTTCTAACCAATCCTAGGTGCTAGCCAGTTGGTAGTTTCTGATAACCCAGACCATGATAACTTAATTATATTAAGAGCAGGGCACCTGGGTGACTCAGTTGGTTGAGCGTCTGCCTTCAGCTCAGGTCATGATCCTAGGGTCCTGGGATCGAGCCCCACGTGGGACTCCCTGTTCAGTGGGGAGCCTGCTTCTCCCTCTGTCCCTCCCCCCACTCGTGCTCTCTCTCTCTTTCTCACTGTTTCTGTCTGAAATAAATCTTTAAAACAAAAGTAATTATATTAATAGCAATGTGTTTCTTCCTTCAGACTATCAGGTGGTTCAAGCCATTTGAAACTGCAGGGCTATCCGCACACTGATTTTTGTTTCCTGCAAGCCCCATGGTGAAACCACAAGGAACATCATTGAGTGAGTCTTGAGTTCTTTTTTTATTTTATTTTTTTAAAGATTTTATTTATTGAGAGAGAGAGCATGAGAAGTGGGGACAGATGGAGAGAGAGGAGGGGGAGAAGCAGACTCCCCGCTGAGCAGGGAGCCTGATGCGGGGCTCGATCCCAGGACCCCAGGATCACGACCTGAGCCGAAGGCAGCCACTTAACCAACTGAGCCACCCAGGCACCCCAATTGACTTCTTTTTTAAATTATTTTTTCCTGATTATGAAAGTAATCTGTACTTACTGTACAGATTTAGAAAACAGAGTAATATAAAGAGACAGAAAAAAGTCATTATACTACTATCAGCAGTTAGTTATAGGGCCAGGTCTCAGGTAAGGCAAGTAAAGCAACTCACTTTGGGTGCAAAATTTAGTAAGAGGGTGCACAAAATCTTAGTAATTAAGATACATTTATAATGCATTATTTTCAAAAATCAAAATTAGTCCCAAGAAAGCCGTGATGAAAAACACATTAAGATCTTTTTTTTAAAAGATTTTATTTATTTATTTGTGTGAGAGAGAGAGAGCCAGAGTGCACACAAGCAGGAGAAGCGGCAGGCAGAGGGAGAAGCAGGCTCCCTGCTGAGCAAGGAGCCTGATGCAGGACTTGATCCCAGGACCCTGGGATCATGATCCGAGCCAAAGGCAGCCACCCAACCAACTGAGCCACCCAGGCGCCCCACATTAAGATCTTTTTAAAAAAAACCAAGATCCACTCCTGTGCTTGCTAAACCCTGTCTCATTCACCTTACTCTAATCCTGGTCCTGGTTCCAATAAAACTTTATTTAAAAAAAGCAGGGAACCAGTCTGCAGGTTATTTCCAATTTGATTTTCCAAAATATTGCATTAAAATATTATTTGTTTGATTACTGAGTTTTTTGGCACCCTCTTAAATTTTGCACCCAAGGTGAATGCCTCTTTCTTCGCTGTAGTTCTGGCCCTGGTCAATTCTTTTTGAGTTTTGAAAAGTTTTCTTCCTTCTCTCTGTCTCTTCCTCCTCGCCTCCCTCTTTCCCTCCTTCCCTCCCTCCCTCTCCCTTTTACATAAGCAATACAATTTGCAATATTTGAACAACATAGGTGGGTATGAAGTACAGGTGATGTGCCTGGATGAAATAAGTGAGAATTAAAAGTAAATGAATTGAGCTCTCAAGTCAGTGATCTAGAAAAAAATAATAAACCTAGAGGAAACTAAAGGGAGAAATTAATAATGTTAGACAAATCCAGAAATGAATGAATGAACTGCCCAACAAAAAAAAATCCTATAGACTTGACAAATAGGCAAGAAGATGTTATTGGAAGAAGAAAATAAGTAAGTCTAATCAAGAATATAAAGGAATAAAACATAAAAATATAAAAAGTCTTAAATGAGAAAAAGCATAACTACAGCTATGAGGAAGTTTTTAGTTATTTTTTTTAAAGATTTTATTTATTTATTTGACAGAGAGAGACACAGCGAGAGAGGGAACACAAGCAGGGGGAGTGGGAGAGGGAGAAGCA